CCCGACTCTGCTTCCCTGCCTGGGGCTGTCTCCATCGTGTCCCTGTGCCCCAGAAAAGGATTAGAGCTCAGGAAGGTGATGGGTGCATCACCACCTGATATTACCACCCATTTTATGATCAATCCCAAAACCAGGCCAGGAATTAACACAGTCCCAGGGCTCTGGGGCAGGGATACACTACAGCATGACATCCATCATCTCCCTTCCCAGGCTGCTGAATGAGATTTCTCCTTCCTAGCAGCAGCAATCTTCCCCTCCTAATGTACTTCAGGGTCCCCAAAGCCAAAGGCACCATCTCTTGCTGGACCCAAGTCCCATTGCCCCCTCATTCACCCCAGATGGGGCTGAGCATCACCCCAGCATGGCCAGCTCCTCCCCTAGGGCCCCTTCTTGGTGCTGGCCTCTAACCATCCCCAGAGCACCCCTTACTCCCCACTCCAGGCTCACTGCAGCAGCATCATTCCCCAAACTCCCCCACCCTGAGCTGCCCTCATCCCATTTCTCCTCTACACTGCTAATTTAACCCCCACCTCACTCCAGCCCAGAGGTAGTACATCACTCAGGATGAGCAGAGAACCCTCAGGAAGCACCCTATGAAGGACTAAGAAGTGCTTCAGCCCTTCACTGCTATTTATTGAGCACGCAGAGGAGCTGCCTGTCAGGCCCTGATTAGCTACAGATCCTTCCTCGTTTGCTTAATGAGCAGCACTCATCGCAGTGAGAGCTTTGCCTTTGACTTGCCTGGTCTCTGCTTTTCTGAGGTGTGCAGGAGGAGGCATCTTGCATCCCACGTTCCCCTTCAAGCTTCCCTTTGCTCATTGCCCATCCAGCCCAGGATGGGGCTATGTGAGGAGAACGACATGTCTCCTTGCTGGGGTCCCCGTGCTCTGCTGCCATTCTCTCCTGGATGGAGGGACAGCCCTTGGTGGGAGCATTTCCAGGGGCTGCCCAGTGCCATCCCAGCTGGCCCCAAGATGCGTTGGTCGCACTTACCCTGTGCTTCCCGGGATGTTAGCCACATGGCTGTGAATAAACGGAGCATAAATAGAGTTGTTAATGCGCCGGGCTGGAGTAAGTGAGGTTGTGAAGCCCTTCCCAGCTGGAGAAATCACAGAAACAATGTCTGATTTCAGCTGACATTTCACAGTCGGCTTTTTTGGTTTCATCTCCGCTTCCTCCCTCCGGAGAGGGCCACGCTTTGCTTTCTCTTCTCTTTAGAAGCAGCAAAACTCCCTCCCTCTTGGTTTACTCTCAGGGTGCCCAGGAGTGAGCTCTGGCCTCTGTGGGTTTTGTTTGAGGAAGTGCCAAGTGCTTCTTCAAACAACCTCCCATCGCGGTGCCCACAGCAGCCAGGAGCTGCTGGCTCCTACATCCCTGCTCTGCCACCACTGCCACAGTGCCTGCCTGGGCTGGGGTACCCCCACCTGGGAATGCTGGAAACAAAACCAAGGAACATAAGGAAAAGCTCGGGGCTCTGCCTGGGGCTGGCACTGGGGCTCTTCCCCTCTCTGCAGGGTTGAAGCTTCACAGTGGGGAAGATGCCAGGAGTGGGTGCTGGCAGAGAGACTGCGGTGCCAGGCAGGGCAATCTGTATGGCACCGGGTACCGATGGCCCCTCAATGCCACCTCCCTAGGCAGCAGATATCAGCACACCCTAGCACTGCGCCCTGACCAGAGCCAGGTCCCACACCTCAATCCATGATGGGAGAAGGTCCTGTCAACTGGGTGAGGCAATGAAGAAGGCTTTGCAGCCCTGCTCTCACTTGCAGCAGCCCCCAGAGCATCAGTGCTCGGCATGCGGTTGTCCTGGTGTGACCCCGCAACGCAGCCCTCTGCATTCCCCAACTCATCCCACTTGGCTTTACAGCAGCTGGTGCCTCGACATGGACCTTGCTAATGAATTTGGGAGGGATTTTCTGGCCTGAACACATATAAGAAACAAGGAAATGTTATCTTGGAGGGGTGTGGGCAGGCAGCCAGTGGAAGGGCAGGCACCGGGGGACCCTCTGTGGGGGGTACATACACAGGAAGAGGCTCAGCTCCATACACAGGCAGGGAGATGTCATTGAGCCCCTCTTTAATTGCATTATTAACACACAGCTAGAAACAGCACCGTGATTAAAATCAGCTACGTAAGGCACAGGGCTGGATCCTTGCCCTGAGGGACTCACTGTGGGATGCACTGCTGGGACATACTTGCAGCTCCCACTTATCACCACTGTATTTCCACCCCCTGGCACAGATCATGGCACTAAATGGGTCAGATCCTGTGTTCTGGACTCAGGCTGTAGTTTTGCACACAGCCATGGGGTTGGGGCGGATTCCCCCAATGTGGGAGCTGCAGCACAATGAAATCAGTGTGGTCCCACTGCCCAGTCCTTCCTGGGGAAGAGACATGAGGCAGGGAGCAGAGCTGGCAGCTTTTCCATGAAGAAAAACCTAGGGAGGGGTGCTTGGTGCAGATCCTGACACCAGACATGTGCCCAGCATGGGTCAGCAGCTGGGGTGGGGACAGAGGACTTTGGGGTGACCGATTACAGCCACTTTCCTGCCCTCAGCCTCCCAGAGCCAGGCCTGCTGAGGAGGAGCCGTGCTACCCATGTCCCGGTGAGAAGCATCCCTGTGCTCCAGGGAAGGGGATGCTCAGTGTCCAGCCAAGCTGCATGCAGGGATGGGAGCAGTGGGGAGGTGGCAGGGTCCTGCTGGGCAGGAGGGACATGGGAATGTCACCAGGCTCGTCCCGCTGTGGCCAGGCCAAGCCTTCCTGAAGAGCCAGAAAATCCAGCCCTGGCTCCCTAATGGGGCTCAGATGGGTGCTGCTGGGGAGCGGCCAAACCCCAGGCTGCGGTGCTGAGTGCTGGAGAGGTGAATGGAGCAGCCCATAGCTGGTCCTTTGAGTTTCCTTGTATCTGGGAATGATTGGGAATGAAAGCTACTACTTATGTATTTGCCTCAAAATCTTTTTGAGGAGGGGGGATTGTGTGCAGGCTGGGACGAGGCGATTTCTGGGAGAGGGTCAATATGATGGGGGTCTTGTTTTGCATAGAAGGGTAACAACCCCTTTTGGGAGAGGGATAAAGGCTGAGCCCCTCACTCTGAGCAGCTTCATGGCAGCAGTGGATGCGCAACTACTGCAGGGAAGGGTTTAGGGGGAAAGGGTTAAAACCCCTGGCTCCAGCACAAGTTGCTCTAACACCCAGGGTGCCTGGGAGGGTTGAAGGCTTCCCCAGATACCACTGGGCTTTGGCTGGAGCCCAATGGGGCTGACTTCATCCTGCTGAAATGTATCATTATGGCCAGGCAGGGAATTCACTGTGGGGTTTCGGGGGAACTGGGTGCAGGGTGGAGTGTGCTGAGCAATCAGACCCAGCATTTGCCGGCTGCTGCTGCAGGATGAGAGCTCCCCACCCTCCTGCATCACTCCTCGGTTTGACGACAAGCTGAAGGGACACACTGTGGGTGCTGGGGGGGGGTCCGACACGAGCTCCTGCCCCAAAGACACATTGCATGAGTAAGAACCACCTCCATGGTCAGTCCTGGGGATGCAGCATCCCTGACTCTCTGTTGCAGCCCTGTTTAAGCAGCCCTGTTTCAAAGCCTCTTTCCAAAGAGGATCACTTTTGGCAGCCCTTAGGCAATGGCAGGTCTCTGCTGACCTGCTCCAGTGCTGGCATCTGTTACGGCTGTCACTGTCCTCTCCTGCTGTCACCCTGCTGTGTCCCCGCCAGCAAAAATCTGCCTCCCTGCTCAACGGTTAGTGATGGCACATACAACTTTGGGTTTTCCTTTGCAAACTGCCTCTGTGCCCTCCTCTGCCTGCTCCTGGTTTTGCCCAGGGAGCTGGAGATTGAAGTTTTGGAGATCCCTGCCCGAGTGGTCCCAAGCAGTGGGGCCAGCAGTGTACACACAGCATCAGCCTGGAAAGCTGGGGGGACACAGTCGTGGTCCTGCAGGAAGGGATGGCAGAGAGGGGCGGCAGAGAGGGGCCAACCAATGGGGATGCCCATGGCCAGAAAATCCCAAGGCCAGTGCCCAGCACTGCTGCTGAGCGCCTGTGCAGGAGGGCAATGGGGTGGTACCCCCACCATGGCTGCAGCATCTGCCATGGAGGGAAGCTCCCCTTCTCCACCACTCCCCCCACACACACACCCCGGAATAGATACAATTGCCCCCCAAAGTCATAGAGTCACAGACTGGTTTGGGTTGGAAGGGACCTTAAAGCTCATCCAGCTCCAACCCCCTGCCACGGGCAGGGGCACCTTCCACTAGACCAGGTTGCTCCAAGCCCCATCCAGCCTGGCCTTGAACACTGCCAGGGATGGGGCAGCCACAGCTTCTCTGGGCAACCTGTGCCAGTGCCTCAGCACCCTCATAGTAAAGAATTTCTTCCTAATATCCAATCTAAATCTCTCCTGTTTCAGTTTAAAGCCATTCCTTTTTGTCTGTCCATATGTGCCCTTGTATAAAGTCCCTCTCCGGCTTTCTTGCTTCCCCCTCAGGCACTGGAAGGGGGCTACAGGCTCATCCTAAGGGTCACGGCGCTTCCAGGTTGGGTGTCAGCGAAGACGCAGGCAGGGATACTTGTCCTCGAGTGTTGTCAGCTCACAGGAGCACTGGGATGGGGATATCATATCCCCAGCCCCACCGCCGAGAGGCCGCGGTGACGGGCGCGGAGCAGCATCCAGCCTCACTACCTGCATGCCCCGGGTCGGGCCGCTCCGGCGGCAGAGGGCAGCAGGCACCAGGTACCCAGGGACACGCGTGGCTTCATCCCCCGTCCTTCTTCCCTCCCTCCCTCCCTCCAGGGGGTGGCCCTGTCGGGGCCAGGCTGGACGGGGCGGGGGGGGGGGGGGGATCCAGCGGAGGAGGCGGCCCCGGGGCCGTGCCCGCTTAAAAGGCGTCAGTGCGGTCGGGACGGGGCGCTGGGACCGGTCCGCGTTCAGGTAAGCTCGGCTCGGCCATTGGGGAGTGCGCCCCGGGGATCCCCCTCCTCTGCCCCTCGGGGGACTGGCCTGGCGGGGGGCTGTGGTTGGGGATCCCCCCTGATCAAGTCTGTGCTGTCCGCAGGTGCAAAGATGGGGTGCTTCACCTTTATCAAGGTCATGATGATCCTCTTCAACCTGGCCATATTCGTAAGTGCGCCCCAGATGATGTCTCTTCCCGGGGGGGGACTCGACCTTGGCGGCTTCCTGCCCCTCGGGAAACAGGGATGAAAGGCTGGGGACCGAGGGAGCGGGTCCTGGGGAGCACACTGAGCCGGGCATGGGGCTGGGGAAGCCATCCCCTGTGGGGTCTCCCGCCCCTCCATGTCCCTGTCTGTGGGGGACTGAGCAGGGGATATAGGTCCATGCGGGACTTGTGCTCCTGGGACCCCGGTGGGGTGTGAGGTCTGGGCTCTGGCACCAAGCTGAGGACTAAAGCCTTGGGCTTGTAGGGGTCTTGCTACATTGGTGTGTCCAGTGCTGGCCAAAGCCCGGGGGACCATGCTGGGCTCAGGGGATGGTGGCTGTTGCATCAGCGACCCATGTCCTTCCTTTTGCTGAAGCTCTGGTGAGGGGTGCAGTGTGCCCCAGAGCAGGGGGGGTTTGCTGGGTCCCTGCCTGTAGGGGAGCAGCCCGTGTGTGTTACAGTGACCTGCAGTGCTGGGGGTCTCCCAGTGTCCGAACTCCTTTCTAGTGTTGGGATATTGGGAGTTTCCAGAGCACATACAGCCTCTGTGTGGGGTGGTGGGGCTCTAAGAACGACCCTGGCTACGCAAGAGCGATGGATCCAGCGGGAAGGGGCTGTGGTGGGATAAAGCTGCAGGAAAGGGGGGGGCTGCAAAACCTCCAGCCTCACCCTGGTGAAACACTGCTGCCTTAATGCTCCTTCCAGGGCTTGGGAAAGGTGGAGCGGGTGGAGGGCAGGGCTGGAAGCAGCCCTGAGCTGACCTTGCCAGGTGTATGTGAGCCTCTGGGGCTCCCTCGATCCGCCGCTCCCCCGTGTAAGTGGGTATCTTCCTTGGATGGAATCTGCGGCAGTGTAATGGTGGCCAGTGTGAGCTGGACATGTGGGTCCCTCTGGGGTCAGGGGGTGGTTGGTGACACGGCTGGCTTAGCTGCCTTGAACAGGGGGAGCTGTGACACCACAGCTGGGAATGTGCTGGTTGTGGGGTGTGTTTAAGGATACTGACCCACCCGGACACACCAGGTGTGTGGCAGCAACACCCTGAGCTGCCTTCAGTGGCCATAAAGTATTGATTTGGTGTAGCAAGAGCTTGCAAAGGGGAGAAATAGCTGTGCCAGGACCTTCCCCAAATCACACATCTCTGCCTGCCTGGGAGCTGACATTGTCTTTCTCCTCCCAGCTCAGTGGTGGGACCCTGCTAGGAGTTGGCATCTGGGTCACAGTGGATGGACAGTCATTCCTGGATATATTTGGGGCAATCTCCTCCAGCATCCTGCAGGTTGTGAATGTGAGCTACTTCCTCATTGTCATCGGTGCCATCCTGCTGGTGATCGGCTTCCTTGGGTGCTACGGAGCACAGAAGGAGAGCAAATGCCTCCTGATGATGGTACGGACCTGACTTGTCTCCTTATCAAGCCTCACTTGAGCTTGGCCTCTGGTGGGGGATATCTGAGGGATGGATTGTTCCATGGAGATGTGCTCCGTGGATGTTCCCATGTGGCAGAAGGCTGGGTGGCCCTTGGAAAGGCAGTGCTGGACCTAAAGTCTGCCCTGGGTTAAGGGTGAAAGGAAGCAGAAGCTGGTGCTGAGCAGAGGTCTCCTTTGGAGCATGTCCGGAGAGATCAGCCCCATGGGGAAGGCTGGAGGATCCCAAGGTTCTGTTGCCCATGCCCTGTGGCAGAGCTGAAGGCAATGAGACGGGGATTGAGCCCTGAGGTGGTGTCCTGTGGCCTTGGGAATCCTGTATTGCTCTGACCTCCCTCCCCTTGCTGTATTCTAGTTCTTCGCAGTGGTGCTGATCATCTTCATTGCTGAAGTTGCTGCTGCCGTGGTGGCTCTGGTCTACACGGGTGTTGTGAGTACCATCTGAGGCTTGCTTTGGGCTAATCTGGGACCCATTCCTACCCTTTGGGAAAGCAGGAGGCGATGGGGCTGGTGGTGCTGCCCATGGGTGGGGAAATTGAGAGGTGGGCACTGCTGCTGGAGGAAGGGATGCTGGACCCTGCTGGCACCAGCTATGTGGGCAAGGTGGGGCAGCCTGGCTGGCGTGAGGATGGAGTGAACAGGGATTCCCATTGCCCTGAAGAAATGGGCATTATGGTCCAAGTTTTGCCCTCTTCTTTCTCTCAAATGCCTTAAGCTAGTACCAGCCTTGACACCTCTCCACCTCTGATGGCAGGAGTCACATAGGAGAGGAAATCCCTAATGCTTCATGCTCAAACTCACCCCCTTATTAAGCACCTGAGAAACCACCTGGGGAGAAAGGTGACTGCCTCATTAGGCACTGGAGAAGTCAACCGCAGAGCAAACATCATTCCTGGCTCCCTCAGTTGTGCTGCTTATCAGATGACTCACGGGTCATAAGTGGCCTGGGTGCCATAAAGTACTGGTTAGTGGGGAAGGGGCCAAGCTATCCTCAAGCTGAAAGGATGTGGTGTGACGTGCTCCTGGCCACTCTGGGCCTGACTGGTCTCCTCCCAGTAGCTTGAGACCAGTATGAGGGATTTTAACTCTGTGATGCTCACCAGAACCTTCTCTGATGGTGTTTCTCTGCCTCTCCTTCCAGGCAGGGACACTGCTCATGGCTGTGGTGACGCCTCTCCTGAAGGATAAGTACGGGGTGGATAAGAGCTTCACACACATTTGGAATGTCACCATGATGGAGGTGCGCTGAGCCCTGGGGCCCCCATCTCTGGGCCAGAATGCTCCCAACATGGCTCAGTGGTGCAAACCTGGGCTTTGGGATGGGCAGTTCCCATTCCGGGATGGGAATGGGAACACCATCATGATCCTGCATGTGCTGAGCTGTCCCCTCCCCCAGATGCCTGGGACCTACCTGCTTGGGATCCAGTGGTCCCATGGCTGAGGGGAGAACTGTACATGCTTGAGTATGGGCAAAATCCTTGTCCCAGGAAGGCCATTGAACACCAGGGTTGAGCTGGGTAACCCCCTCCATGGGGCAGCGGTGTTCAGACCTGGACACCAGGAGGAAGACCTGAAGGATGCTCTCCCCATCCTTTCCTTTCTCTCCTTCTTAGGTCCATTGCTGTGGCCTGAATAACTACACAGACTTCAACGACTCCGTCTGGTATAAGGACCACGGAACCTACCCTGAGCCCTGCTGTAATAGCACACAGCCCTGCACCTACATGGCAGCTGCAGAAAGCAAAGTCACGGTATGGGTGCACCAACAGCTCTTCTGGCAGAGCCTGGTTTGGGGTGTGCTTTGGCATGGGGCAGGAGACCTCCCATGTAGCTCCAGCCCCAGCTTGGGACATGGTGCTCTCATGGACCTTAAGTCCGGGGGGATGCCTGGTGGAGGCATGCAAAGATGCTGCCATTGCTCTGGTCCTAAGGGGAGCTCTGTCGCAGGTTGGCATGCCTGGAACTGAGCATGAATCCAGGCACCACTCTGGTTTACTGTGTGATTTCCCTGCCTATTCCCCTCCTTTCTGCCCCTAATACCATGATTTGGCCTGGGAAGTGGCTGAGTTGCCCCCCGATACCCCCAGACCATCTCCGTCTCCATACTGGAGAACTGTACCACCCTTCCTGGGGCTGCTGTGCCCCAGCAGCTGGGGGAGCACCACCTCTTGCTCACCCTCACCTGTGTGTTTGCCTCCTGCAGGGTTGTTTCGATCAGATCTTGGAAGAAATCAGGACCCATGCAGGTGTGGTGGGTGGCGTGGCTGCTGGCATCGCTGCCTTGGAGGTGAGTGCCTGAGCATCATTGTGCTCCTTCGCCTTGTAACTGGGTGTGAGTGGTGACGCAGGGACCAGCCTGGGTGGCAAGGGGCTGGGGCAGCCCTATGGCCCACCATCTGCCCCAGGGTGGCTACTGAGCCTTATTCCATTGGTACACCCAACTCTTCCTCCTTGAGCGTGCTGGGGATGGATGCTACAGGCTGTGACCCAAACCCATGCTGGGTGGAGGGATGAGACAACACACACCTGTGGGTGCTGACTTTCTTCTTGCCACCCCAGATTGCAGCCATGGTGGTTGCCATGTACTTGTACTGCCATCTGGACCAGAAATGACCCCACAGAGCAGGAGATGATCTGCCCCCTCATCGTGCCGGGGTGCTCCCATGGCGTGCCATGCTCTCCGGGGGACCCCATCGCTCCCTGGGCCTGATGCTGTCTTGTGCACTGTGATTTTGTAGCTGCGTTTTGATCTACTGAGCTGGGATCTGTAGAGTTTGTGTATATTTTTGTACTGTTATGGGACACTGAGTCTGTACATAGTGATTTGGGGGGGGGGGTTGAAGGGGGGGAAGCTGCTTGGTCTGTTTAGCTGATGCCAGAGGGAGATAGAGCAGCGCAGGGGCTGATCAGAGCTGCTGATCTGGCAGTGGCGCAGTGATGCCTTGATAAACCCTTGCGGGCAGGTGCTGTGCCTTTCCCATGCTGTCTCCACTGTGTCCCTAAGTGGGGGCTGCTCCGTGCCCCCTTCATCACTCCATTGAATCATTGTAGGTGGTAACTACACTTCCTATGGGGATGTATCTACCCCTACACATGTTTTCTGCCAGCCCTGACCATGTTGTCACCTAAATGAGGCACTGGCTGGTCTGTGCCCCTGCCCTGGCATGAAGACAGCCCTGTTGGTCCCTGTCCCTGCGGTGTCCGGGGCTGCCCCCCTATCACACCATGGCTGAGCCCTCTCCATCTGTAAAGAAAACCAATTAAATTGTTCATCTTGGATACAAACCTGGAGCCGATCCTGGTGCTGCTTCAATGAACGGCCTGTGCCTGGGGAGCACTGCGGGGTGCGGGGCTGCTTTGCCTTCCCCATCCCCAAGAGCCCCATGCAGGCAGCACCGTGCTGCCCGCAGCCTCCTCACCTGCTCCGGTGCTTGGAAACCATCAGCCCCGTGTTTGCACAACAGCCGGGAGTGGCGGGAGCTACCATGAGCCTTGCAAAACAGCCCTGCCCTCCGCAACAGCCGCTGCTTGCTCAGCAATGTTGGGTTTAGGGACTGGGCAACAGCCTGGCTTGAAAGGCAGGGCTGGTTACTGGGGGGGTTTGGCCTGGTGTTCGTGTCCCCATCAGCCCCAGGAGCGTCAAATGGGGTGGTACCTTCCCCCCCCAACTCCATCTCTGAGCATCTCTATCTCCCAGCATTGTCCCACTCTGATGCACCCACAGTCCTTCTATGGGGGGTGATGGGCAGGTTTCCAGCCACCCTCTTCCCCAGCATCACTCCCTTGTTGCCTTTGGCATCATGCCCCCCTTGAGCATCCCCTTGCCATGCCTCACTTTCCCCATTTCATAGAATCACAGAATGGTTTGGGTCAGAAAGGACCTTAAGATCATCCAGTTCCAACCCCCTGCCATAGGCAGGGACACCTCACACTAAACCATGTCACCCAGGGCTCCGTCCAGCCTGACCTTGAACTCTGCCAGGGATGGAGCATTCATAACTTCCTTGGGCAACCCATTCCAGTGCCTCACCACCCTTACAGTAAAGGACTTCTTCCTTAAATCTAACCTGAACTTCCCTGTTTAAGTTTGAACCCATCACCCCTTGTGCTGTCGCTACAGCTCCTGATGAAGAGTCCCTTGCTCATTTTAAACATGAGGTGGTTTGGGGTGGCTGTACTGCTTCACCCCCTTTCTGCCATGAGGTTCCCCACCTCCCCGGTGTGGGGCAGAGCACTGTGGGGCGGCGGCTGTTAAGGACGAGGCGATAGGCAGTGGGGCAGCAGCCCAGTGTGCAAACACTCTCCCCATGCACTGCCTTGCTCCAGCATCCCCTTATCAGCTCCTGCACTGGGTACGGGGCTGCACCAGGGCACAGCTGAGGTTCCTCAGGGTCCAGCACCTCGGTGGCACCATCCAGCACCTAGTTGGGGGCAGCGGGGTGTCAGTGGGACAGGCGTGGGCACCTGCTCCCCACCCAGGGGTGACTCAGCCCTGGGGACATGGGTTCTGGCCCTGCCCCATGGCGAGGTGCGTGGGGAAACTGCTATAAAACAGCTTTCTCTTCCTCTTCCTCCTCTCTGGACACATGAAGGACCTGGTTCCGGCCATAAACAGTGACCTCATGGGTGACGTCAAGCCTTTTAATCCTCTTTTCCCTCCCTGGGTATGCAGGAACCCAGTGCTGCCCAAAGCCTTTCCTGGTCGTGGTGGCCAGGTTGTCACTGAACCAGGCACCGCTGGGCACATCTGGCCTGGCCTCGTCCCTCTCTGCTCCTGTATGGGTTTCCCTCGCCAAGCAGGGTCCTGGCAACCACCCTGTGCCATCACCCCAGCAGGGTGCAGTGGGATCGGGGTGATTCCCGGCTGGTCGGAGGCTCCTGGCTTCACACCTCTTCCTGGCCATGGGGTTTCCCCGCTCAGGGCAGGCCGTTTCTGTGGCGCTGGCTGCAACCACAAGCTTGGTTCCCCCCCTTCACCCGCTAGGGAAACCTGAAGGACCAGTTTCTCCTCCCGGATGCAATTCCTCCCCATCACCCTTCCTGGCTCTCAGCTCCCCTGGCAGCCCAAAGGGCAGCAGTGGGGCAGTGGGGGTAAGTCTGGATGGCGCAGCAACCCCTGTGCTTCCACAGTGCCACTTCCCTCTGCTTCCCACTGCCCAAGCATCTCCAGAGCTGTTGGGATCCACAGAGGACCCCCATCCCAGCTGGTCCTGCACCAGCCCCAGGATGCACCCCAGCCCACCACCCCAAGTGGGTGCCACCAGGCATCTCTGCACCTTATAACCCTTAGATTGCCTGATCCCCCAGACTGGCACCCCAAAAAAGCTGATCATTGTGCCACTGGAGACCGAGGCCAAACAGTTCCTAGGGGCACATGGTAGCAAACACAAACTTCCTTATTGCCCCCCCCAGAAAGTGTCCTTGGCTTGAAGTGCCCTGCATGACAGGGTGTGTGTGCTGGGATGGGGATTACTCTTTTCTGCCCATAACACAGGGTTGGGGACAGCAGGAGGGTAAAGTCTCTCTGTATGGGGGCTGCAGGAGGGTAAAGTCTCTCTGTATGGGGACTGCAGGCAAGCGAGCAGCACCCTGCCTCCTGCCAGAGCCCAGGCTGCTGCTGTACCCTTCCACACACCCCCTTGCTCACCCCAGTCCATGTGTTGTGCCTTGCCCCATTCCACCACAGGCAATAGCCCCCTGTGAGGGTGACAACCAGCCTGGCCTTTGGAATGGGGAGAGCTGGTGGGGGTGAAGGGAAGGGTGGCTGAGCCCTTCTCTTGGGTAGGGTTTGCCCCTATCTTGGCTGAGGAGGTGATGAGGATGGTGTGGAGAGACCCGGCTGTGTGTGGGGTGGCTGGGAGCAGAGATGGGGTCACTCTTAGGGTTGGCTCAGAGTTGGTCCTTGTGATCTGGGATTTGTTTTGTGGGGAAACGGGTGCATGCAGACCCCACAGCCACTGGAACAGTGTGGCATCTCCAGCCTCATCCAGTCTGCTGCAGCCCCATGAATCCACGTGTGATGGGGACCAGCCCAATGCCACCATATCACCCACCCTGCAACAGCCTTGGAACATCTCTCTACTGGAAACAGCCTCTTTAGGAGCCCATGTAGGGAATTTCCACCTGCTTGGAAAATGGGATGACTCAAGGGCAAGCTGCTCCCTCGGAAGCAATAAGGAAGGGGCTGGTGTGTGTGCTGGAGGCTGGGTGGATCTGGATACCCCATCAGCTTCCTGTGGGGCAGCATCCCCATGAGCACAGGGTGGGGAAAATGAGGAGCTAGAGCTCTACAGGGAAGGCAGATACATGAAGAGCTGCCTTTCTCTCCCCAGCAGCCCCATGGGGTGCCTGTGCACCCATTGCTCTGCCACCATGGGTGCCATGCACCAGCCAAAGCCTCAGGGGATTTACAGGGTGTGTTTGCCACCAGCATTGCCTATTCTGGGGCACAATGGGCAAACTGTGATTTAGGACATGAGCTGCCCTCGTCCTCCTGGGAATTGGCGCTGTTGGGGGGACAGGATTATCATGAAAAGGAGGAGGAATCACAGCTCTTTGGGTTTGTGCTGATAAAGTGAATGGGAAGAAAAAGCCAACTCATTCATCATGAGCTGCCCAAGGAGTGCCCGCTGTGTGGGTTTTCCCCCCACCCACCATAACAGCCTGGCCATGACGTTCCCGGATCCGGCAGGAGAGGACGTCCTCGAAGGGCATGGGCTGGCCTGGGGGAAGAAGGGAGGCACTGCACCCTTTCCCCAGCACCCCCTTCCTCCCTGGCTTCCCTTCTCCTCCTCCTCCTCCCTGAGATAAACCACCCTGGGTGCCCACCCAGCCCCAAGGATGCTTTCTGGGCAGCTCCGTGTCCAGTTAATTGTTGGGTTACCAGAGGTGTCAGAAGGACTCTTCGACAGCAGCAGGCAGGAGCTGACATTGAACGTGAGGGTTAATCATTAACGTGGTGCCAAGCAGGACACAGCGTAATAACCATCACAGGGACCCAGTTGAAGATTAATTTGCCACTGGGCTTTGTTAGGTGCGGGCACAGGAGGTGGCAGCAGGGGATGGGGACAGGGATGGGCTGGGCAAAGCCAGGACCAAGGGGAGAAGCCAGGCAGAGCCCCTTGAGCACCCTGGTGTTACAGGGCTCTTTATAATGCAGAAGGTGCTGCCTGGGGATCAGCACCCTGGGCCGGATGGAGGTGGCCTGGGCACAGCATCACTGCCTCCTCCCGCACAGTGATGAGGACAGGGCCAGCACACCCTAAGCACTGAGATCCCTCCATCCCACAGGACCTCGGCTGCTATCCTGGAGGACAGTGGCTGGAGGGTGCTTCCCTCTATCTGTGGGGCACAGAGGGACGGATGTGCCATGGGAAGGGCCAGCACGGACTCTACCTCCCACATAACAGCCCATCATCGGAGCTCAGGCGCTCCCTGCCCCTCCAGCACAGAGATCCCCACTGAAAAAGCATAATGCATACAAATAACCACGGTCAGAATTCATGCAACATTCCCCTCCTCCCCCAAGCTCTGGAAAGGTCAAGTTTCATGCCAAGGCTATTTTGCCTTTGTTTAATTATCAGCCAGCTCCTGGGAAGCCGAGCAGCCCAGACAGGTTCTCTTTTGTATGGCTGCACAAAGCCAGGAGGCCGGGCTCCGGGGGGCAAGGGAGACTGGGAACCCACAGCTTAGGCAGTGTGTGCTCAAACTGGTGCCACATGGGGCTAAACTTAAACGATGACACCATGGGAGATGGCAGGTTGGTCTTCCCAGGGAGGGCAGGCGATGGGATAGCTGTCCAGCCAGCTCCTAGACAGCTGGGTGTGCTCCAGCACCAGTGGACTGAGCTGGGAAGTGAGCAGGACCCTCACTGATGAGGCAGGATGAGGAGGGACCTGGCTCCTCGAACAGGCTCCCCAGGACTAAGGCCCTTCAGGCAATGAATCTTTGCATCATCACCACCCAGGGAGTGATGTGCTGAAGCTCTCCATCAGCCTGCCACAGGCACTCCACTTCAAGGGGGGTTTAGCATCATCACCCCATTTTGGGAAGAAACTACTGTAAATGCTGGCTCCTCGAGGTGGACACGAAGTGGTGGGTCTTGAACCTCAGCCCACATCACCCCTAGGCATCAGTCACAGCACCCTGGCAGGGGCTCAGTGCTACAGGGTCTTGCCTCAGCAGGAGGTGGATGTGGATGCTGCCAGGAGGTGAGATCCACTTGGCAGTGCCAAGCAAAACCCTTAGGGCTGGGCAGAAAGGCTCTGGCAATGGGATGCTCTCCT